GATGTTTCCAGCCGCAGCACTACTGACACTACGTCCTTTGTGAGTGTAGCAGTGCTGGAACCAGGCTCTTGCCAAATTAAAATGAAGCCAGGCCCTCGTTAGTACGGCCTCACGCCTAATCCATCTTCCTTACCCATCTGCCCATTGTAGCATCCTCCCACCAGGACGTGCGAGTCTTTGGGGTTGTATTCCAGGCTCACAAGAGGGGATGACGGCTTGAGAACGAGCTCTGGCTTGTTGGGGTTTTCTGCCAAGAAGGGATGAATAAAGAGCAAAGTGCAAAGGCAGCCCGGAGGGCGAGCACCCCCACCTCTAAACCAGCCTCCCGATACCGCACCCCACTCCTCCACGCCTGGCTCCCCGCCACGCCGGTGCTTGCTCAGCCGTGCTGGATGAGGTGGCCATGTCACCAGGGTGCCTCACCTTAGCCAGGGAAGGGAGCTGACCTGTCCTCACCTGCCAGCCTGGGGACAGACCCCTGGTACCCCAAACCCCCAGTACTCCGACCCCTCTTCTTTGTGTTTTTCGTGCCAAAATACAACAGGTCTGAGAGAGTCTTGGACAGAACAGGGCCATTCTCAGCCTGGGCTTGTGCTGCCTCTCTCTTAACCAAGCACAAGCAATCCATATAAAGACAAGAACCACATAAGAGCGTGGCTCAGCTGCCTGTTGTGGTCACAGGCACTCCAGCTCATGAAGTCATGTAGTGGGATTTTAGCGGTCACTGTCCACCTGTTGGCCAGCTTTCAGGTCCCATTTCTCTCTTTCTCTGCATTGATCTGTGGGCAAAGCAGAAACTGAACCCCTGTTCACCCCTTCCGGAGAGCTCAGAGGCTTCATTACACTCTTTGAAGACACAAAGTGCTTCCGCAGCGGCAGCATTACTGACTGGTGAGTTTTCCCTTCCCCGTACCGAGATCCCAGATGTATGAGTCAAAGCTCATGTCTTTCATGTTTTGCTGGAACTCCAGGCTGGAATAAGCCACTGCCAGTTTCTTGCATGTGTCAGGGTGCCAGGAGAGATGCGTGGCCGTCCTCTTGGTTACGTTTGGATCCCTTTTTAATAACAGGACATCAAAGAAAGATGTTAGTTTGCTAACAGCTTTGTCACACCCTGGGATGACTGTCTCCCAAAGGAAACTGTGGGAATCGCAATTAAAACAAGCTGCAGCCCTCGAGCATTGAGTGCAGGAAACGATTCTCTTGGGGGTCGGGCGGGGGGAGAAGAGTTGATGATTTAATGAAGTCTTTCCAGTTATACATTTCTAAGAATCCCATTACGCTACTGGGTCTGACTTCTAGAAATGACCTAACAGCCCCTGACATTTGAAAATAATCTTTGAGGCACAAAAAAAAAAGAAAAGAAAAAAAAAATCCTGTCTAAAGCACTGTTAGAAGATGCTCGGAGCCATGTCTGTCCCTGGACCGTGGTACCTATCTCCAAAGTGCCTGGGCAGGGCGGAGGGCAGGGAGGGGAGGAACGGGCAGAGTTATGGAGCAGGGGGGCTGCAGCAGTTCTCTCCATCCATAAACGGATCCAGCATTAGCCTAAAGCCACTGGCTTTTCCACCTCCTTTGTCTCCAGAGGCAGTTTAATACGCGGTAGCCCACTGTGGATCTGGAGGGCCTGGTGAGCCCAGCTGGTTGTGCTACCTGATGATATTGATGGTTTTTGCAGAGGGGGGCTCGTCTTCCACCTCTGCCATCTCCTCCTCTCCAAAGTACTCCTCGTAGATATTGATGGCGTTGTTCTGCTTGACACAGTGCTCCATCAGCTGCAGGGAAAGCACAGGCAGAGGCCGTGCCTCTGGGGAGCTGCCTAGGCGAGGGAACCGGCAGCGGGACTGGTGAGCTGCCTAGGCGAGTGAACCGGCAGCGGGTGGGCAAGGGGGCTGGGAGTGGGAGGCGAGGAGGGGGGACGGGCAGGGCCTTACGGTGCCGAGGTGCACGATGGTGTTGATGTAGTTTTCATCTTTCTCCACTTTCTTCCTGAAGCGAGTAGTTTGTTGCACCTCCTGCGGGTTGATGTCTTTGGGCCAGCCGCCCTCGACATGGTTGACACCGCGGGATTCCACTTCCACTCGCTCGGTGTTGACCTGGGCGGTGGCACGGAGAAAGCAAAGCAAGAGTCTGAATGAAAAAGGTGCAAAACACACCTTTTCCACTTCGTACGGCACTGCCCCACGGAGCAGCAGCCCAGGAGGCCACGGACGGCTACCGGGGAGCCCTTACCTCGTGCTCCGACATTGCGCTGGTGTGCTGGACGGAGCTGTCCACGGGGTTCCTCAGGACAAAGCTGCTGGCCATGCTGGGGTCGGGGGGGATGTCCACGCTCACCTTGGCCGGTCGGTCGGAGAAGTTGCAGGGCCGGCCGAACTCGCTGCGCTTCCGCGCGTACACGTAGATGATCTCCATGGC